AATGTTTTTGCTGTTACAACATTATAATTCAATTGTACGTAAAGATTATTTAAAAAACATTTGAGATTAATAATAATATAAACAAATAAAGTTTTGTGTATATGTTCATATTTACATGTCCGATCACTGGGACGTTTATCTTAATATTAGCATTAATGCCAAAAATAAGTTTTATTTTTAGCACTTGACATATAATACATGCAAACGGAAATTATATATCAGTAATAAATAATGATGTAATTTATTTAAGAGAACACTGAATCAACAAATAAAATTTATTAAACTGTATCTCATAACGTAAATGTTTTCGCGAGCATTTTCGACATACATTTAATTGAAAATACTCCACTTCTTTTATTTATATATATAGTATATATATATATATGTATAAAGTACATGTAATTTAGTATATTTCTAAATTCTAATTGTAAAATTTTTTTTCATTTTAACAAGTAGTAAAATTTAACAGAATTTAAAGACACATAAAAATGAAACTATAAATCTTGAAATGCACAAATAAAAATATTGAAATATCTAAATTAGAATCGTCGTTGTCATGTTATAGCACTCTCTCTCTCTCTCTCTCTCTCTCTCTCTCTCTCTCTCTCTCTCTCTCTCTCTCTCCTTTTTGTCGAATTCTATATAAAAACATATAAAATTAATAATAATAAACCAATTTTATATTTAACACGTATGCAAAATTCATTCTACCTTTTAAATTCTTCAGATGCAGATGTATTGTAGTATATTGCTCCATTGTCACACACACACACATCGCAATAAATACTATTATACTATTTTATTGCATCGTACAAAAAAAATGTTAAATCAATTCTCTGTAATATGTTCGTGACATCACAGAAAGATTTTGCCATAATAATATATATGTATATAACAATCAAGAAGATGTAAATCACTTAAAAACAAAAGTTACGAAAAGATTTTTTATTAAAAATATGATTTTTGTATAATATAATTTTGCACAATTCACAAAATTTAAATGTACAATTCGATTATATAACTATAAGAACTAGAATTAATTTCAATAAATAAAAGAAGGGCAACGAGCCAATTATACTGTTAGATATTTAATAATCGTATATATACAAACGTTTCGACACCGATCGGGTCATTTTCAATGTAAAATAACAAACACTCTTACATAAATTGTCGGAAAATTTAGTCAAATTATCATATTCAGTAAAAAGTTCGGTTGTACTCATAATGTGCGGTCCATATGTAAAAATAACAAAGGAGATCTCATCTCACTTTTCATAATTCTACAATCTCACAAATAAATATTAAATCAACATTGCGTTATAGTTTAAATTATCAATGTTCATTTATAGTAAATTAAATTAAAATGCAAATAAACAAAAAAATATATACCTTAAAATGTCTCAATGATGTAAGTTAGACGCCAAGAGGAAACTCAATTAACAAAGTTATATATAATAAAAGGTAAGCCATAATACGATTGGATGTAACCTTTATACTCGACGATGTCAAGCGACGTTATGACAAAAAGGAAACAAGGAAATAGGAAAGATAATAGGAAGGGAACGAAGGTCAATGTTAAGAGGGGGAAAGAAATTGGATAATGTTTAGATATGATTCTGGCAGAGATTCTGTGTCATTTTGTTTGTTTAGCCCATGCATTTGTCGTTTTATGTGAACCATCTCCGATATCAATCTCTTATTAAAAGAAGCTTCTCTGTCTAAAGAATTAATTTCATTTTTTTAATTAGAAATGTAAAAAGGAGATATACTACTATAGCTTTTAACCACATCATTATCTTATTTAACAATAATTCGGATTCTACAATAGCGATATGGCATCATTGAGATACTTATTCGCAATCCTAATGCACATACAATGTCATAAGACAAATTCCGTAGGGCGCATCAACTAAAAATGGCAAAATACGTAATTATAAAAAATATTATAACTTATGTGTGTATTTAAGGTACTGTGTATGTTTGCATTAAAAATACTATAATTGTTTACTGCATGTCAAGCATCATCTTATTAAACCTTCTATTATTGTGATTTCGTAAAAGTCCACGAATTTAATTACAATATCTTATGAAACGCTAATTTTTAATTTTAAATATAATAAATATTTTAATTGCACGTATGACTTCTTTCTGTGCAATTTTACATTCGCCTCTTTATGTTACATTTAGAAATATCAATATTATAAAATAGAAATTTCTAAAATGCATTCTTAAAATTGACTTATAAGAGGCTTATATTATGAAGATTTCACATATAATTTACAAAATAATGATGAAATAATACATATATTGTTTACTTTATTAAAATTACTGAATTTACTGAAATCGCTATTATCATCGAGAGTGATATTTTAAAAAAGATCTACAGTATGTCTTACATTAGAACATTCTTTTATACTATGCAAAGTAAAGTAATAAATAAAATTTAAACGTTTGGTACGTTCATGGGGCACATACGGAGAACTGCAGTGCATTTTGATTAACAAACTTACCTTTTTAAAAAAGATAAAAAAGGGCGCTTAAAATATACGTGCTCCTCGAAAAAAACCTAAGTGTCCAACCCAATTAATAGTAGGTTTAATTTTTTTACAAGGGTATTCTTATTGAAGGTCTTATTCCAACCCAAATAAGTCCAACGGCAGCTTTAATTCTCTATCAACAATTATTACTCGTCGAAAAAAAACTACTGTAATGTCAGACGATGTTTCGAAACTGAGGACAATCGCTTTGTCATTATCATTTCCTAACTAAGTTAATAAATACCAGGGTATTATTTCGTTTCCATGTAATCTCAAATATAAATAATATTAAACTGTCTACAGAGGTATGAAATTAACAATGGTTACAGTAGAAGGTTGGCAATGACTCCATCATAAGCGTGCGATTAGCTCAGCGTAAATGTATTAGGCTACCGTTCTAGAGATCGTGGGTTAAAATCTTGCCGGCGATGCGATGCGTTTTTCATCAACTAAATGTAGTTAAAAAGACAGAATATAGATCTGCGAAACAGTAAATATAAATTGAACTAGAAAAATGAAAAGTAATAACAAAATAAAATTATTTTTATTCGTTAAGATAACCTTGTTCTTTTTATTATGGCAGCTACGCATTGGCAATACTTGCTCTTTATCTAAATTTCTATCAAGGATGTTTCATTTGAGTTTTAAAGTATCTGTTGAATTGTTTATGAGATGGAAATTTAAGTAGGTCAACGCACAACATTTTAGTCAACCTACAACTACGAGTTACGTTAAAAAAACCAATACCAAATATCAATACATGCGTATGACACATATAACTTGTTATGAAAGCATAATATTGCTTTTGAAATGCTAAATATCTAATGTTTTACACTATAAGGTATCTTCAATCGCTTTAACATAGAATTTGTTTTTCCAATGGAGTTTGTCACATTGTGAACTCTCGCACTAATAATAAGTTACACCGAACTGCGCTGGTCCAAACTATAAGAACGAAATAAGATGTATATTTTCTTATAACACTGACAATTGTCGGGAAATAATTTTATGTAACGTAATGTATCATTATTTCAAATTACATGTTACATTAAAAACGACTATTGATGGAATTATAGCACTTTTTATTCTCTAACTGCGCAATTATAGAAACTTACTAAATTATATCATGCCACATATTTTTTTTCCTACATGAAATGTTTTACTGAAAATAAAAAAATGTTCAGTACGCTTCCTGATATGATATTATTCAGAATATACCCGCGATATTTTTATTCGCAAACTTATTCTGTCTGCTAAGTAAGATGGTTTTTTCTGGTGAACGTTACTACAACATTTATCGAATTATGTTGACAGCGATTGGTTTGTGGCCTTATCAAACGTCGATTATTATGCAAGTTCAAAAAGTGTTTTTCCTTGGCGCATATTATTTCATTCTTTTGTCCCAGGTATTTCTCGGTCCTTTTTTTCTTACACTAACGCTTCTTTGAGTGATTCTAAATTCGTATGTTGTATCATATTTGTGTGTTACAGTTTACGACTTTCTTAAGAACAACATGCAACTTGGAATTTATTTTTAAAGAACTTCCATGTATTCTCATGACCATGTTCTGTACTATAACTTATAATTCTTGTTATTTTAATACTAAAGAAGTAAGTATTCCTTGCAATTTTACATTTATGGCGAAGTTTATTTACCACCATGAATAATTCCGGCAAATAAAAGGAAATTTTGGAAGAAATAATTATTCAAATAACAGATGAAATATTTGTTAAAACAAATAAAATTGGACTGGAATTCATTCGAAGATGAAAGTGAAATTAGAATATTAAAAAAATACGCCATTGAAAATCGCCTTGTATCGATAATTCTAAGTTGTAAGTAAATTATAAAATAAATTATAAATATAACTATAAATATATAAATTATAAATATAATTATAAATATTTTGGTTTATTTAATTTATTAGTATAAACATAATTTTCAATATACAGGGTGTCTCATTTTAAAGAATCCACTGAAATATATCGGAAACACTGCGTTAAATCAAAAAATATTTTAAATAAATGTTTTTTTACTTCGAGGGGAACATAAGATGGTGCCATTTGTTTGACCTTGGATGGCTTTGTCAATATCAGGGCAAAGTCACTTTGAATTTTTTAAATGGAATCCCCCATTTTCCATTACATATTTTGTAGCTTACATCGAGAGCTTTTCAAAACACTATAATAAAATATTTTTTAATTAAGTACTTTGCGCGTTATAAGGCTTGAAAATTATAGTCGTCATCATTAGCGTGACTCAAGGTAAAATCTCTTGAATGTTGTTCAGGATAATGACCTAAATAACATTTGTCAAGATCAATGAATTTTTAGTGCAAAAATGAAAATAAGAGGAACAACTTTCATTGACCTTGATCTTGACAAATATTATCCAGGTCATGATCCTGTACAACATTCAAGAGGTTATAGCCGTCGGTCGGACACCTTGGGTAATGCTAATGCCGGCGATGCTGTAACTTGCAAGCCTTATAATTCGAAAAGTACTTAATGAAAATGAACTTAATTATAGTGTTGTGGCTTATCCCTCGAGCCAAAAGAATATGTAATGAAAAATGGGGGGTTCCATTTAAAAAATTTTAAGTGACCCTTATCTTGACAACGCCATCTAAAGTCAAACCAATGATACCATCTTATGTCCCCCTCAAAGTCACAAAACTTTCGTCTGAAATATTTTTCGAATTAACGCAGCGTTTCTAAGATATTTTCATGGATCCTTTAAAATGGGATACCCGGTATACCCCTCTTTTTTAGATACTTTAATGATGATAATTAAGTAAAGTTGTATGCTTGTCTTATTATTTTTTACGTTTCCAGTTTGCACCGCATTTAGTATGTTTTCGTTAGTAACCATTGAATTAACACCAATTGTCCTTGACGCTGTCATACCGATGAATAAATCTCGGCCACGTAAAATAAAGGTGGACTTCGAATTTTTTATTGACCAGGAACAGTATTTTTATATTTATTTAATACATGAAATCATAACAATGCTAATTGGAGTGTTAACAGTACTTGCAATTGGAACATTATCGTTGGGATTTTTCAGGCATTGTTGCGCAACTTTTAAAATCGCTAGGTAAGCGTATCGTTTAATTTTATGCAAAAAATAATCTATCTTGAGTTGTTAATTACGTGTAAATTGTTTGCAGTAACATTATCGAAAATACTGTGACTAAACATACACTTCAAATACCTGCTTATCGAAAAACATATGTGATGTATCAGAAAATTATTCGTGCTGTTCAAATTCATAGAAAATCTGCTCAGTTAGTCTTTATATAACTCTTTTAGCATTTATGATCTATTACCTATACATGCGAACATTGATTTTAATTTAAAAAAGCATATTATTTAATGCCCTCACATATTTGAACTCAAATGTATGAATTAGATTTTTCTTTGTTATTGAAGGTTTTCCACATCTTATTTAAATATTGTAAACAAATGGTATTTCGCTTTAGTGATATTAAGCGTAATATCTTTAAGTTGCAGTCTTTTTCGAGTAAGTAATGCTTTTGTATGTAATACATACAGTAAATTTTTTACGTTTTATATTCAGTTCAATTTTTATAGATATGAATTCGTACCTTATACATGTATAAATTGAAACATATAAATAATAATATAATATATTTTTATAGTTACTTAATGCATTAATATTGTCAAATGGGTTTTCCGAAATAACGTTGTGCATCGGTATAGTAGTATGTCATTTTATAGTCATGTTTGTAACTAATTTTGTTGGACAATCAGTTATTGATCATTACGCAGAAATATTTAATGCCGCGTAAGTACCGTATAAAGTACAAATTCAATTATAAATCGACTAAACAAATTAGTTTCTTCAATCAAATTCAGTGTCCATATTGTATGATATTTTTTTCAATCAATGATTTTTCATCAATTTCTAATCTATTTATATCTAACACAAATAATCATAAAGTTAAAAATTAAATTATAAGGAAAAAACAAGTGACTTTTCTTGGTAATTGTTATCTAATAAACTCTAAAGGAAATGCCCTTATCCACTTTAATATTGAAATATCTCGGAAATGGTAGACCGTCTACGTCCAAATGGGGGAGGGGGAGTGATTTTTATGCGTTTGGCTTACGATTTACTATCGTGTCTCCTGATAATGTATCGATTATATAAAGTTGGGAATAAGTATATAAAAATCGACAAAAAAAATTTTTTTTTGTCCCAGGAATTCACTTCATTGGATTGAATGTATTAAATAATCTATTATTTCTTATTAAATTAATGATATTTATGGAATCATTGTTATTCTAGGATGATGTTTACATAAATATTCGATCACAAATTATTTCATGTAATGAGAGAAAGAATCCTACACTCAGAGAAAAAAGTCACATCAGTAACTATAAATTTGTAGTTAAATAGCGCCTCAACTATATGTATATATACTATATATGTATGTATATATACAGGGTGAAAATATCAAATGGGCCGAATATCTCGGAAAATATGAAAGATACGAAAAAATGTTTCAGATAAAAGTCGTATGGTTCGGAGGGGAATATAAGAAGGTATCATTTATTTGACCTTGAGTGGCGTCGCCAAGGCCAGGTTAAGATCACATCTATTTTTTTAAATGGAACTCCCTATTTTTCATTATACTTTCTTATAGCTTACTTTGAGAGCTTTTCAAAACGCTATAATAAAATATTTTTTGATGAAATATTTTTCGAGTTATAAGGCTCGAAGGTTATACTGTACAGTCGGCATTAGAATTACGCAAGTTGTCTGACTGATGGCTGAAACCTTCTGAATGTTGTTCAGGCTCATGTCCTGGATAACGTTCCTCAAGATGAAGGCCATTGGAGATTATTCCTCTTATTTTCATTTTTGTAATAAAAATTTATTTTTACGCAAAAAGAGTGGTGAGGTGGAACTCCCTTCGCGTAGAAGACCATTACGTAAGCAAGGAGGGGTATAGAATATTTTTTAATATTATATATAGTAGAAATAAGGCGTTATTTTTTCAAATTTTTTTATTACTAACTTTTTAACGGACAACGAGCGACGACTAAAACCTGTTGGAGGTCATTCAGGGTCATTACCTTGACAAAATACGTCAAGGTCAAGTTCACCGGAGAGGTCTCCCCTAAAGTGAATATTTACCGAATTTTTATATTTGTAATATTCGTTAAACTTTTAAAATGAGTAAAGATTTGTAGCTTTTTTATAATTTCAGTGCACAGTTATAAGCAGTAATGACTGTTACAAACAATACAAAATCTAATTTTTTTTGTTTTTAGGTATAATACAATGTGGTATATAGCTCCATTATCAATACAAAAATTGCTTTTATTTGTGATGCAAAATTCTCTGAAAGCATACACCCTAACAATTGGACATATTTATGTAACATCTCTAGAGGGATTTTCTACGGTAACATAGATACTTTTAGTGACACACTGAGAATCCTATTTAGTTGAATTAGCTAATGTTTTGGCCATATTAAAATAACTCTTTTTTTTAATGGATAAATAAAGTCTTGACTGATGCTATAAATTAATTTTTAATTTTGATGCAAAAGATTTGATTATTGTAATATTTCACTCGTTTCTGAGATAATTATGCAGAATAGGCCTTTTTCCGAATTACGACATTTTTCGGCTGCAATATTGATAATAATATTTGTTATAACTCAAATAGTGATAATAAGTCGGGGAAGGTCAAAAAAAATTTTCTTTTAAAACACAATTGATAAACTAGAAGCTTATGCCGATCGTATTACATATTTCGCGTGGACATCGTGCGCCCCCAAGCAGGGGGGCAGGTGGGATGGGAGTCGTTTCGCGTGGAAGTCGGGAACCCCTAAGCAGGGGGGGTGGTGAGGTAAAAGTCGCTTCGCGTGGAAAGTCATGCGCCCCTATGCCGAGAGATAAGGTAGAACAAATAATTTAAAAAATAGATATTTTTCAACCTCCCCCGACTTATTATCACTATTTGAGTCATGACAAAGATGGGAAGGCTTCGTTTGCGTACAAAACGACAGCTTTGTTTACAGACAGCAA